AGTGTTGGATGCTCAACTTACTGAGCCACCCAGGTGCCCTGTAAATGATAAATTTTAAGCAATAGTCATAGTTTTGAACAAGATGACTCAGGAAAATTTTAATTACAGATGAATCCCTTTTAGTAAACTAGGGATTTGTAGAAATTTTGCAAGGATTATATCTAATGTGAAACTATAATTAGTTATGCAGTGGAGAAAGGCAGAGAGAAAGCCTCTATTGTGTACCAAATACTCCTGTCTGCTTTGGTGTATTTTTACTGAATTTAAGAATGCTGCTTACCGTGGGGTGCCTGGGTGGCTCAGTTGGTTAAGCTTCTGACTTCTGCTCAGGTCATGATCTTGAGGTTTGTGAGTTTGAGCCCCGTGTCCGGCTCTGTGCTGACAGCTTGGAGCCTGCAGCCTGCTTCGAATTCTGTGTCTCCCTCTCTCTCTGTCCCTCCCCTGCTCATACTCTGTCTCTCTCTGTCTCTCAAAAATAAATAAATGTTAAAAAAAATAAAAAAGAATGCTGCTTACCTTGATTGTGTTCAGTCACAGAATAAGGTGAAGGCAGCACCTTGTTTTGGTGAAGAACAGTAAAAAAACTGATGAGTGTTATTTATTTCTGCCATACTGATTTTTTTTTTTTTTTTGAGGAACTCACTCATTTCACAGTCCTATAGACTCCTTTCTCTTAACAACTAAAAGGTAGTTCCTCTCCTCAACTCTTTTTTATTTTGTTTGAAAATAGTTTTTGTTTCTGATGATAGAATTAATGCAGGTTTATTATAAACAAGAAAAATATGCAGACCTAAGGAAATTATAAAGAAGAACATTTAATTTGTTCATAGTCCCATCATACAGAGTTAATGAATATTAGTACTTTGATGTTTGTTTTTCCAAATCTTTTTTCTGTGCGCTTGTGTACATATGTTCATTTCGTAAAATAGAATTACAAAAATTGATTATTTAAGGAGATACTCTCCAACATTTTGAAAAGAAATCCAGCGCAGTCATAAGATTTATTATATTGCTGTTTGTACAGAGTAAAGGAGAGTACAGTGGTTTCCCTCTAACCTGAAATTTTTTTCAAGACTTTATACCTTTTAGGATTATGGAAACATTTATCAGGGCAACAAATATCAAATAAGATATCTTTTCAGAATTGAGGTGGGTTTTTTTTGTTTGTTTTTTTTTTGTGGTTCAAGGTTGCTCCTAAGTAGAGATTTGTAATAACAGTGGAACGTGGTAGTAATGATAAATAATTCAGGCATGTTATACAGAAGAACTTGATCAAATGTTTTTAATGTGTTAATGTGTTCAATATGATACCTTATCAAATTTCTTGAGTTTTATGATGCCAAGTGGTGTTTCTTTGGAACTGCTAGGAATAGAGAGCAAAAGGGACTTTGTTCTACTTCTTGATTTTTATGAATCTTTTTTGCTAATATTATTTATTAAGAAGAATTACATTCTCAAACAGTTCTAAAATTTACTAATGTTGTAAGAAAGAGGAGTCCTGAAAATCTCACTATAAGAGAAAGGAGAAAGGGCATCCTAGTATTAAAATTATTAAAGGGACGCTTGGGTGGCTCAGTTGGTTAAGCATCCACCTCTCAATTTCGGCTCAGGTCATGATCTCATGGTTCATGGGTTCAAGCCGTGCATCAGGCTCTGCGCTCACAGTGTGGAGCCTGCTTGGGATTCTCTGTCTCCCTCTCTCTCTGCCCCTCCCTTGTTCATGCTCACTCTCAAAAATAAAATTAAATTAAAAGTAAAATTATTAAAGATAATTTACCAAATAATTAAAATGCTTTTACTAAAGATACTTTTTTAAACACATGGAATAACGGGCATGTAATTTTTTCATTTTATTTATTGCTTGTAATAAGGTATTTTAAGTGCTTTATATGTATTATATTATTTAACCTTCACAATAACCTTATAAGGTATATACTGTTACTATTCTCCAGTTTATCTAAGAGGAAGCAGTGGCACTGAAAACTAACATGCCTGAAGTCTCCCAGTTGATAACATCAAACCTCAGATTCATATTCTGGATCCTGACAACAAAGCCTGTGTTCTTCATATGTGAGAGTCAGTCACCTCCCACCATTGTGGATATTCTTTTTGGTCTGCCTATTGCACTTGAAAGTTTATCATGGATATCTTTCTTCATGAATTAATATGAACCAGTACCATTATTATTAATAATTACATAATATGCCATCATATTGTAGAACCTAATTTATTTAGCTGGTTGCCTTACTGTTAGGTTTTCTGACTTTTGGTTAGAAAGTATTCCTTGATGAACTTCCTTGTATATATCTCCTTGTATACTTCTATGAAAATTTTCCAGGGATAAATTCCTAGAAATGGAATTTCTAGGTTGAATTATTAGACATTTTATAAAGTACTCACAATATGCCTGATCCTATGCTAGTACTCTGAGGGTGAAAGAGTGACTAAAATGACAAGTTGATTTTTTTTTAATATGAAATTTATTGTCAAATTGGTTTCCATACAACACCCAGTGCTCATCCCAACAGGTGTCCTCCTCAGTACCCATCACCCACCCTCCTCTCCCTCCCACCCCCCATCAACCTTCAGTTTGTTCTCAGTTTTTAATTGTCTCTTATGTTTTGGCTCCCTCCCTCTCTAACCTTTTTTTTTTTTTCCCCTTCCCCTCCCTCATGGTCTTCTGTTAAGTTTCTCAGGATCCACATAACAGGGTTGATTCTTAAATTATTATCTATCAACATAGATAAAACTGTATAGGAATTAGACTAAGTGTGATAAAGGTCACTGAAGAAGTTAGCTTGGGAATTCCTGGGAAGAAGATACATTATCTGATTATAGCAAGCTTTATCAGGTTGTAACCAAAAAATGCCAAATCCAGAGGATTTCTGTATAGGTAAATGGACTGTATGTAAGAGGTGTTATGCCTTATGGTTTTTATTCTCATGATGTTGATGCAAAGTGAGACCAACAGGGCAAAAGATTCAGCACCTCTTTGGAGGGCATCATGGCTAAAATGACTGGTTCAGAAGCAAGATCAATGCATTAGTACAGAAGTTAAGAAAGGCAGCAGCAGAGAAACAAGGCATTAGATGGGGGGTGTTTAACCATTTTTTTCTAGGCAAAACTTCAACATACATGAACAAACTTATAAATCATAGAGTTGGGTCAGCTATTGGGAGCTAGAAGAAAAATATATAGTAGCTTTTTTCCTCCAAGTTCAAGAGGTGACTGCTTCAGAAGTGAGTCTTTTTCACCTATTTGAAGAAAAGCTTCCCACTTACAAAATTTCAAAAATATCTTTCCAGAGTATATATTGCCATATAAAATTATGAAGTAAATATAAGCAAAAAGAAGAAAATTAAGATCAAAATGGGGAAATTAGCAATCTTTGCAGATCTTTTTTTTTTTTTTTTTAATTTTAGAGAGAGAGTGTGTGAACACAAGCAGGGGAGAGGGAGGCAAAGGGAAAGAAAGAGAATCTTAAGCAGGCTCCATGCTCAGCACGGAGTCCAACAGGATTGATCTCACGACCCTTGGATCATGACCTGACCCGAAATCAAGAGTCAGATGCTTAATTATACTTTACTAATGTATTCATAATGTCCATTTTATTTTATTTTATTGAAGAATATTTTATCTTGAATATTTTGTATATCCTTATATATTTTTAAAAGCTTAGATTTTGTGATTATCATGCACATGCACAAATATATATATCTTTTTTGCCCTGCTATAACAGGATCACAGTACTCACAACTGTTGTCACCTGCATTCTTCACTCAGCAGCATGTAGTAAACATATTTCCATCTTTCCAATTAAAAGTCTGTATTATCATTTTTTAAGTGACAAGCTTTTTCATTCTGTGGGTGCTTTATAATTTATTTAATCTATTTTCTACTGAAGGATTTTTAGATTCTTTCCCGCTTTTTTCCATTATAAATAATGTCTGTCACTACATTCTTACATCTTGTACATATATACAATTATTTTCTTTAATCCCCAGAGTAGAATTTCTGAGTCAGAAGATTTGCATGGTTTAAATGCTGCTTGGACATAATTTTTTTTAATGAATGTTTATTTTTAAGAGAGATAGAGCATGAGTTGGGGAGGGACAGAGAGAGAGGGAGACACAGAATCTGAAGCAGGCTCCAGGCTCTGAGCTGCCAGCACAGAGCCAGACGCGGGGCTCGAACTCACAAACCACAAGATCATGACCTGAGCTGAAGTCAGATGCTTAACCTACTGAGCCACCCAGGTGCTCCCTGCTTGGACATAATTTTAAATTTACACAATCTGCAGGTTAGAGTATTCATTTCCTTACAAACTTGCTAATATGGGCATAAGTACTCCCAAAGTGAGATTTAATGTCTTTTGGTGGTTTCACATGTTATTTCTATTTTTTTAGGTTTATTTATTTATTTTGAGAGAGAAGGAAAGAGAGAGAAAAAGCATGAGCGGGGGAGAGGCAGAGAGAGAGGGAAAGAAAAGGAATCTCAAGCAGGCTCGGCACTGTCAGCGCAGAGCCCAACTTGGGGCTGGAACTCACAAACCGTGAGATCATGGCCTGAACCAAACAAAATCAAGAGCTGGATGCTTAACCCACTGAGCCACCCAGGAGCCCCGTTATTTCTATTTTTTAATGAGTCCTGCATGCTCATGTTTCTCCCATTGGAACAAGAAATTCTGGGTTTCAGAGACCAGAACTAGAGTTGATTAAGAGCTGACTTTGGTTAGAAAAATGAGGAATCCAAATTCAGCTTTGCTACTTAACTCAATTTCTGCAAGTGGTTTTACTTTTATTGTAAATATTCTGGTCCATTGCATAGATAATTATTATACTACATAGCAATCCTAAGGATCCACTTAATGTATATAAAATGCCTATCCTATGGAAGTCTTTGAAATAGTTATGTGTTGTCTACCTGTTGAGAGCATGTATCCACACCTTTTCAGCCTAGGTTGTAAGAAAGAGAATGGTAAATAAAGACATGTAGGAAAGCAGTGTGGTTGATTCTGATGGAAAAAAGTAATGAGCCCAGAAGATTCTGGAAGTTATTGTACAGGCTGGCAGGCTGGTAGGGTTGCCAGTGCAGCAGTTTAACAGTGGTTAATGACTGCCAGGGTTGGGACTTAGGAATTTCTCTCTTTGTATCTGATGAATCCAAGCAAGCCTGCAAAGCTTTGAAAGATATTCTTGTTTAGATGATGTGGCCCTTTATCAGCCCTGGAATTTTCGAGGAGGGATTAGACTTTCCAGATGCCCTCAAATCTCCCTCAGTGTGTGTGTGTGTGTCTGTGTGTCTGTGTGTGTCTGTGTGTGTGTGTGTGTGAGAGAGAGAGAGAGAGAGAGAGAGAGAGAGAGAGAGAGAGAAGTTCAAGGGAGGGGAAAAGGACATTAACTCCAGCCATTTAGTGAGTTCTGAGGACTATCTCATCTCATGGCTTTCTTTTCTTCCCCCTAGCTCTGGCCTCTGTGAACCCTCCAGGCAAGTAAACTCCAAGGAAGACTGACCAGTTCTTGAGTTTCTAAACCATGGCCCATGTAAGTTACTGTTTCTTTCTCCTGAAAATACAGTCATGTTAATGTCCTATGAACATTTCTTTATCCTGAAACTTCCTACCTATCAGAGTCCCATCTAGGAATCTTCTCCCAGTCCTCCAAATCCAGTGAGGGATGAGGCTATTTAGCACAACACCTGTCCTATGAGTCCTCTTTTCGCCAGTCATTATTTGTGTATTCATTGAAAAAAAAAATCATTTAGCATCTCCTATGTGTGCTCAATCTTTTGCTAAGAGCTGCAGTGGGGCAGAAATGAAATCGCTTGAGGGGGATGTTTGACCATCTTTGTGAGTTGATGAAAGAGGATGAGCCCATTTGACTACTCATGGGGAAACTGAATGTTTCTGGATTTGAGTTTTCCAGTATGTAAGATAAGATTTGCTGTTGGTTGGCCTCAGCCTCAACATATGGTGAGCTCACTTGCTTTGTGAGGCTTTTAGGATGGGGTACAGATATAATTGGGTCTTGCATGCAAAGAGATCAAGGACCTTCCCTAGGAATCCCTAAGAGTTGTATACTAGGATCAGGGTTCCATTTGTAGTTGAACAGGATATGCTGGTCTAGAATGACATCTCTGTGATTCTGGATCACCAGTTTCCAGAATCTACATCCATATCCTCTAAGTCAGGAACAAGGAATGTATACAGTGAGTGATGGAAAATGATAAGTAGGAAAATCATGCAGATACATAGTTTATAGACCTTAACAACTGAGGAGAACCTTAAATATTTTGTATAGACCAAAATGGAAGAATGATTAAGTCTCATATAGCCCTCACATAGACTATTATACAATTTTTTAGACTTCATTAAAGAATCTGTCATAAATGGAAAAATGCTTATGATATGATCTGATTCAATGATGAACTTGGAATAAATTATTCATATCCTTTTCTAACATAGAAATATTATAAGGAAACTTTTAAAAAATCTGTTCTTTAAAGGGAAAGGGTGGAAGAACTACATTTCTTGAGACTTTATGAGGGAGACATGTAACAGGCACAGGCTTATATACAATATTTCATTTAATTGGAAAACTGATTTTTTTCTTTCCCAGACATGTTTGGATGATCAAGATACGCCAGAGTATTCAAGAGGCTGCACCTATAGCAACAGGATTCTTCAAGAGCACATAGGCATGCTGCTTCAGGCACACTCATTTCCTAACTCACTATATTAAAGGCTTCCAGCCCAAGCCTTTTTGTTTGCCATATGGTCCATTTCCTGCAGTATCTCTTCCATCTTAAAACAAATTTTCTTTAATTTCAATTGTATTATATGGTTTGTCATTGCAGAGATCACTGATGTTCAGTGATGTGTCCATAGTCTTCTCTCAGGAGGAGTGGGAATACCTGGACCTGGAACAGAGGGACTTGTACAGAGATGTAATGTTGGAGAATTACAGCAACTTGGTCTCCCTGGGTAAGGTCATCCGCCTGTAGACATGTTTTCTGTAATTTCTGCTTTTTTCTCTGGAAATTTCAGTAATATCTTTCAAGAAGCTATCTAAATTTCTGCTCCCTGTTCTCAGGTAAATGGTTTGAACTTTATTTGTTTGAAAGTGAACACCTCTGTTAGGCATATTCATCTTCCTTATTCTTTTTTTTTTTTTAAATGTGCCATCTTCCTCATTCTTAAGTGGCCTTTAGGCCTTCCTTATTGATGAAAAAAGGGTGGATTTGAATACAGTCTTACTAGTGTCAAAGAAATCAGGTTTCCAGGGTACCTGGGTGGCTGAGTCATTCAAGTGTCTTACTCTTGATTTCTGCTCAGGTCATGATATCACGGTTCGTGAGTTCAAGCCCCATGCTGTTATTGCGGAGCCTGCTTGGGATTCTCTCTCTCCCTTTCTCTCTCTGCCCCCCACCCCCACCCCGCTTGTGTATGCATGCTGTCTCTCTTCCAAAATAAATAAATAAACTTAAAAAAAAAAATCAGGCTTCACTTTGTATGTGAACTCAGAATTGCTATAGGTGTTTTGTTATTTGTTGGTATACCTCTTAGGAAAATAGCTAGACCATGTATCTTGGTTTTAATCTACCAAAAGAACAGATAATATTTGTAGTGTTAAGTTGGATCAACAGGATTTATTTACAATTCAAGACAACTCATTCCTTTTGTTAATAAACATATTCACTTTTACCTACTTTCATGATTAAAAATTAAAAATCCAAGAACTTTGCATTTAACATTATATTAATATCATAAGAAATAACAATAAATGCTTCTGGAAACTTCTTATTTTCCCCTCAGCAAAATAACAATGACAATAAATAATAATAGCTAATAAAATACATTCGACCCTTGAACAACATAGGAGTTAGGGATGCCAATCCCCTATGCAGTCAAAAATCTGCATGTAACTTTTGACTCCCCAAAGCTTAACTAATAGCCTACTATTGATCACAAGTTTTACTGATAACATAAAGTTGATTAACACATATTTTGTATGTTATATGTATTGTATACTGTATTCTTAAAATAAAGTAAGCTAGAGGAAAAAAATGTTAAGAAAAGCATAAAGAAGAGAAAATACATTTACAGTACTTATTTATCAAAAAAAATCCACATATATGTGGACTGTTGCAGTTCAAACCTGCATTGTTCAAGGGACAACTGTGTATATAGTGCTTAGTACATAGCCTAGGCAGTGTTTAGATATAGGTATATGTTAATATAACTGTCACAACAATTGTGTATGAAGGGTACAATTACTATTCTTAAAACTAGGATGTGGCAGAGACAGGATTTGAACTCGGGCAGTCTGTGCTCTCAACCACTTGCCTCAAGAAGGATTACTTGTATGAATATAAATTAATCTATTTATTATGTAACCTTAATATGAATGTTTTCTAGCTATCTTGCCCTTCTTTGTTCTAAAGGCTTTATCAATTACCATCTGACCTGTAGTTTATTAAGAAGGTAGCCAAGATTGAATCAAAGTAACTTTGAATTTATTTTTTATTTCCATATCACCTTACATTTCATTTCTTCTAATCAGGATGCTTCATTTCTAAGCCAGATGTGATTTCCTTGTTGGAGCAAGGAAAAGAGCCCTGGAAAGTTGTGAGGAAAGGAAGGAGACGATATGCAGGTGAGTGAGCCCCAATTAAGCAGGGGGAAGCCATCACCAGAGGAAACCACACAACTAGTTAGGGAAGAGGCACACTCTACTGCTGTTGTTTAGAAAGTCCTCTTTAAAGATCCAAGGCCTGGGGTGCCTGGCTGACTTAGTCAGTAGAGCATATGACTCTTGATCTTGCAGTTGTAAGTTTGAGCCCCACGTTGGGTGTAGAGATTACTTAAAAATAAAGTCTTTAAAAAAATTAAAAAATTAAGGTCTAGGGCCTGAAAGAAAAAGGTCTAAGACCTGAGGAGCAAGTTAAGGTCTTAGCAGGGGATACGTATAGAACTATTTATTTATCCATTTACCACTCTTTTGTTGTTGTTGCTGTTGTTCTTTCAAATTTTCCTCCTCTTTGAAGGGGGCATGGGTGGAGAGGTGCTCTCTTTGTTCCCTGTTGACAACCATTCTATCTATATTTTGATTCAGCTGCTTTCTTCTTTTGTATTTATAAATAGTAGATAGTTAGACTAACTGACTGATTGACTTATCTACCTACCTCTGAGCTGGGCACTGTGCTAGACACTATCAATATAGTAGTAAATAAAGCCAATAGAGTCTCTGTCCCCCATGGAATTTACCTTGTAATAAGAGACACATAGTAACTATAAATAAATAGGAAATACAATTTTAGGGGGCACCAGGGCAGCTCAGTTAAGTGTCCGACTCTTGATTTCAGCCTCATGATTGCAGACTCTTGATTTCAGTCATGATCTCACGGTTCATGGGTTTGAGCCCCGTATCTGCCAACACAGAGCCTGCTTGGGATTCTTTCTGCCCCTCCCCCACTTGCATACACATGTCCAGTCTCTCTCAAAATAAATAAATAAACTTTAAAAAAATAATAAAGATAGATAACTTCAGGTAATAAGAGAGTACTATGAAGTAAAGTAAGCAAAGTAAGAGAATATAAAATGGTGTAGGATGGAAAGCTACTTTAGGAATGGTCTGAGAAAACTTTTTTGGGGAAATAAAAGACTATAAAAAGAATATACTTGACATTCTAAGAATACATATATGTTTTATCAGCAATCACAGTTTTATATGAATTACTCGAAGATAGATCCTTAGATCGTAGAATTTCATTCTCTGCTTTTTTCCCTGTGTATATATATATATCTACCTTCATATCAGGAAGAAACATGAATGTGATAGACTATAGGAAGAATGATCCCTTGGTTTAGCTTCCACCTCTGTGCTATTTTAATCTCTCTTTGAATGTCTTTAAAAAAGATCCTCAACATTCTTTATATAGAGAGGTATATGTTGCCATTCTGTATTTTGCTGTCTGTACATTCAGGTCTGGCTGAGGAGACTCATTTT